AGTTCTCTGGGACCTCACCTGTGGCCAAAGAGAATACAAAGATGTCTGTCAATGCTCCAGCAATTTGTTCCCTTGCCTTCCACAATATTCTTGGATAGATCCCATCAGGTCCCAGGGATGTATCTACCTTAATACTTTTTAAGATGCACAGCACCACTTCATTTTTAAGAGTACTTGGCTTAGAAATTCAACACTCCCTTCCCTGTGATCATCATCCACTAATTCCTTCTCTTTGTGAATACAAGCACAAAGTTTTCATTTAGGACCTCACTTACCTCTTCTGGCTCCACACATATTATTCCCTCCTTTGTCTTGATTGGGCCAACCCTTTCCCTGGCTACCCTCTTGCTTTTTATATATGCATAAAGAGCCTTGGGGTTCTCCTTAATCCAGTTTGCTAATGACTTTTCATGACCCGTTTTAGCCCTTCTAATTCTTTGTCTAAGTTCTTTCATACTTCCTTATATACATACTTAAAGTTCCCATCCTTCTAGAGCTTATGTATGCTTCTCCTTCCTTTCTGACCAAGGTCATAACATCCCTGGTCATCCAAGGTTCACATAACTTGCCAAAACCATCCTTCAGTCTAACAGGAACAGCTGCTCCTGAACTCTTATCAACTCTTATCCTGAACTCTATCTGTTTGAAATACTCCCACATGTCCGATGTGCATTTACCCACAAACAGACACCTCCAGTCAAAATTCTCCAGTTCATGCCTAATATTGTTGTAGTTCATCTTCCCCCAATTGAACACCTTCTCCAGAAGACTGCTGTTATCTCTATCCATGAGTATTTTAAAACTCATGGTATTATGGTCACTGCTCATGAAATGCTTCCCCACTGAAACTTCACTCACCTGGCTGAGCTCATTTCTCAAAACCAGATCCATTGTAACTGTTCTCTGGTTGGATTGTTTACACGCTGTGTCAAGAAACCCTCCTGAATGGCCCTTACGAAGTCTTCCCCATCCAAGCCACTACCACGTAGTGAGTCCCAGTCAATATAAGGGAAGTTAAAATCATCCACCACAATAACCCTGCTGTTTTTACATCTTTCCAAAATCTGCCTACACATTCTCTCTTCTATCTCTGGCTGGCTGTCTGGAGGCCCAACATTGTGATTTCACCTTTCTTACTCCTGATTTCTACCCATATTACATCACTGTATGAGCCCTCTGATGTATTCTCCCTCCGTACAGCCTTGAGGCACTCCTTTGCCAGTAATGCAACTCTCCACCCCTTTTACATCTCCTTCTATCATACCTGAAACATCTGTCAACCTTTGCAGATTGGATATGAAACCAGTTATCTGGATAAATTCACACTGAACGTAATTGTGAAAATGTTCTAACCAGACAGCACATATATGTACTTAACTGGAATTGCCACACTGAATACACTGTGCTAAAGTGAATGGACAGTCTCAGAATGGTGTGGAACCACTTTGCCTGTGAGCCATGATCATATAGATTGACTAACGATCAATGCTGACAGCTTGCTAAGACGTGGCCGCAGTTACCTTTCGGCCCAGTATATCTCTCAACAAAAATACAATGTGCCAAATTGTAGTAGTGTTTGATATCAAAAATGATATCTTAAAACCAGATCATTAAGGATTAAATGGGCGTAGCAATAATCAATTACTGAAGAATGAAAAAAGAACGTGACAGCAGGCTGTTTTGCGAGAACAAAAAACGGAAGTTGCTGGAAAAGCTCAGCAGGTCTGGCAGCAATTAGAAGAAAAATCAGAGTTAACGTTTCAGGACCGGTGACCTTTCCTCACGACCCGGACCCGGAACGTTAACTCTGATTTTTCCTTCTAGTTGCTGCCAGACCTGCTGAGCTTTTCCGGCAATTTCTGTTTTTTGTTTCTGATTTACAGCATCCGCAGTTCTTTCGGTTTCTGTTTTGCAAGAAGGTGCCCTTGGCGTGAGAACAGACTGGTTTGCAACGGCACTTGGAATTGTTTTTGACCACCAAGCAGGGAATAATGCATAGGCTTTGATTAGACTCAACATTCGGGCTGGGTTTGTGACTCTGCCATGGAAATTAACGTCAAACTCCATCGCCTTCGCTATGGGGTCTCCAGTTTGTTCAAAGACGTGAGACTTGTTTGAATATATCTAAGTAGCTTAAGCTAAGCACTTTACAAGGCAAATAAGTATTTTTAATGTAAATCAAGTAATTGAAGCTAATAAATTTGCATTACATCTGAGCACACTTGCCTTGTATTCATTTTGATCAAACCTTTTCTGTTTCTTGGAGACGGCTTTGTGCAACACCAACGCTCGGTTCGTGACAAACGACTGCACCTCCCAGTCGCGAACCACTTCACCTCCCCCTCCTACTCCTTGGACGACATGTCCATCCTGGGCCTCTTCCAGGGCCACAACGATGCCACCTGAAGGCTGGAGGAACTTCACTTCATATTCCGCTTGGGATCCCTGCAGCCCAATGGTCTCAATGTGGACTTCACAAGCTTCAAAATCTCCCCACCCCGACCTCATCCCAAGGCCAGCCCCCTTCTCGTCCCCGCCTCCTTGACCTGTCCGTCTTCCCTCCCACCTACCCGCCCCTCCCTCCTCACTGACCAACCCCCATCCCGAATCCCTATCTATACTCACCTGTACTGGCTTCATCCCCACCTCCTTGACCCGTCCGTCTTCTCTCCACCTATCTGCTCCACGATCCACCGTCTACCATCGCCTGCCCCTCGCTCTATTTATTTCAGAGCCCCCTTCCCCTCCCCCATTTCTGAAGAAGGGTTCAGACCCGAAACGTCAGCTTTCCTAGATAGTAGGAACTGCAGATGCTGGAGAATCTGAGATAACAAGGTGCGGAGCTGGATGAACACAGCAGGCCTAGCAGCATCAGAGGAACAAGAAGGCTGACGTTTCGGGCCTAGAAGGGTCTGAAGAAGGGTCCAGGCCCGAAACGTCAGCTTTCCTGCTTCTCTAATGCTGCTTGGCCTGCTGTGTTCATCCAGCTCTGCACCTTGTTATCTCCGACTCCAGCATCGGCAGTTCCTGCTATCTCTTTTCTGTAAGGCACTTCTCTAAGGCCTGATGTTACATTTAGCGCTGCGAGCAGGTACTGAGAAAAGCGTTCAAGAAGAAAGCAAATGTCACGTGGAGGATGGGTTTTGGGGTTCCAATGAACTGGTTGAATGACTTAGGGCACGGCAATTTTGAGATAAGGATTTGAAGCAAAGCCCCAAAGGACTGTTCCCGGCAGTAAGAGGTAAAAGGGAGGAAGTGTCGCCCGAGTGCGGCGCATTCTGTCGACCAGCGGCCGCGGCGGGACTCGACCCCAAGACCCCAGAACATTACCTGGGTTTCCGGATTAACAGGCTATCGCCTCCCCGCGTTATAAATATGTGGGCGGGTCATTAGTTTTGAGGAGCTCTTGAAGCTTGGAATATTGAGGCTTTTTTTAAAAAAGAAATTCATTCACGGGATGAGGGCGTCGCTGGCTAGGAATGCTCATCCAAAATTGTCCAGAAGGCAGTTAAGAGCCACATGTAGGCCAGACCAGTTAAGGCCGGCTGTTCCCTTCTCTAAAGTGAGCAAGACAGACTTGTTTTCGATAATCTATAATGGATTCTTTGTCATTAGGCCGTAATGCCATTTTTAAAAAAAAAGTTGAATTCAAATTCCACCAACTGCCGTGAATTTCTAGCATTATTTCGAACCCAGGTCCCCAGAACATCACCTGAGTCTCTGGATTAACAGTCCAGCGGCAATGCCACCACGCAATCGCCTTCCCTTATGACACTGTGATTCGGCAGCTGGAACGTGTGAATGAAGTCCTGCCTACACAGGGAGGGGAACAGAGCCTAGTCCGTTCTGACACTCTGCTGTTTTAGTGGGTTGGAGGACTGTGTGAATTTATTCACCTACATTCCCACAAGTGATTGACCACGACTGTGTGAACGCACATTGTGTCGGCTATCTTCCATTTTCCTCTTCCCACACGGAATCCGCTGGGTGTCCCTTAGATCAGCTGTAACAATGCCAGGACAATGTGATGTGTCCTTCTAAAATTTGGAACCTAAAGCCTTCTTTCACCAGCCGTGTCATTGCTTGGCCCCACACCTTCTCCTACACGTTCCCACTCTGCTATACTGCTCAAAGCTCTGTTGCACAATGTTGTACTGTGACGATTTTATCAATAGTGATGGTTAGTGACATATTTTAGCCCGCTAACCTGATGATTGATTCTGATGGATCTTGGTTAAATATTGAAATTCGATCGAAATGCCAGCTATTTGCCATTGCATGTGAAAGCAAGTGTAGAAGGTTTGAATATGTCACTTACTGTAATTTAATGACGCGTTTAGAAGACAATTAATATTCAGCAAATGTGAAATTTCAGGACTTTGTTTTAATATGGAATCCTAATTTTCACATCTCTAAACATCTTATTCTTTTCGATTGAATAACCAAGTTGTGTCACTGAGCAGTACTGAAGTAGGACGTATTACGTTGACATCACAATTGTCCATCTTTCATTAACGACAGAGTTCATGGTATTGAAGTAATCTGGTGCGTTATTATCTCACAGCAAATCCCGACATGCAGTGCCAATGAATAGCGCTTAAATGTGGAACTCACTGTTGTAAAATCTGGCTAATTAAGTGCTGCCCAGGCGAATGAACAGGTCAGGGAGAGATCGTGGGTCTGAGGAAACACCAGCGGAGTTTTGGCTCTTAACATAATCAGCCAGCTTTCCTTTCCCGTGTGCACGGTGAGGGATTGTGACAAAAGAAGGCAGAAGGAAGGCTGTTACTGAACTCACAAATAACTGGAACTTGGCGAATATTAGGAAGCTTGTGGGGTAGCACCAGGAGAATTTCTGGCCAAATGAGACAGCCCTGTATGGAGAAAGAGGCAGAGCTGAGCAGACGTTTCGTAGGTCCAAGCGTTTGGCTGTGCGTCTGCGTGAGGATAATCGACTTGCTGATGTGCTTGCAATGGACAGTGCACCCTTTTTAAAAGGATCACGACTTTAAAAGTTTAACAAGCAATCTCGGCGGATATTTCAAACCATTCTTTAACTCGTCTCTGAATTTATTCTGGACGCCCGCATAAATAAATGGATTGATGCAGGAACTCAGAAACTGAAGCATATACCCGGTTTCCTCCAGGATAAAGGATGACTTATTGTAATCAGCAACCGAGTAATACGCTACTTTTGCAATTCGGACATACAGCACTGTTACAAAAAATACCGAATAAAGCAGAACAAAACTACCTGAAATGCCAAAGAGTAAAATAATGGACTTTTTCCGTTTCTCCATCTCTGGGTCACTCTTATTTTCCCCATTGCTTGGGGTGCGGAGTCTCCTACGGGCTTGACTGGCCGCTAAAATGTGTCTGACAGTCAGAGCATTGAGCAGTATAATCAGAGTGAATGGGAGGCAGGGGGCTAGAATGGAACGACTCAAATCATATGCGGCCCATGCTTGGGTGGTACTAAATGCTAATTTTGGAACGCAGAACCAAGGTACGTTACTAATTATGTACGATGGTTCAAATATAAAATATAAAAATGCATTTTTAAAACAGCTGAGCATGCAGACGCTCCCTATAACCCATGTCGCTGTTAGTTCTGTACAGTATTTGATTTTCAGCTTCTGGCAACAAATGGCCACAAATCGATCAAAGGTGAAAGCGACGGTTAACCAGGCAGAACTATCTATTACTGAATAAATTAGGACAATGCGGAGACTGCATATTGGTGTGATGGATAAAAAGCTGAATGGGAAATAAATGCCCGCAATCCGGTTTATAATAACATTACCAACAATGATCAAGAGATCTGCTAGCGCCATGGATACCACATAGTAAACGATACATCCAGAAAGACCACATCTTCTTCGGTATAAGATCACGATCACCGTCAAATTGGCTGTAACAGAGAGAATGAAGAGGGAATAGTGAGAATAATGTCTGAGAGAACGAGGGCAATGAAGTTCATCAGTCCAAATTTCAACAAAATCATACTTTTTCCAGAATTCTGTGTGAAAGCCAGGAATGTGTGGTTAGTTATTGAGTTGGAAAGTATGCTTCACACCAAGATCAAGCGTTTCTATTGAGCTCAGAACAATCATCTTAATTGAAAACACGTTATGACATTGACAAGAGTAATCAATAACATATGTAATAAAGGACAGAAGATGATGTTGTAAACACATCAAAACATGCACAGAAAATGACTGGAAGAATACTATTCATATACTGAGTAGGACAAATGACAAGAAAGCGGTTGTGTGCATGAAGTCTGTCAAGAAAATTCATGCATACTGCTGACTTTAAAAATATCCAAATGCTATGAATTTCTGCAAAATAATTCTCTGCTAAAAATACCTGCCGATAACATCAACAAATACATCCTGAGGCATAAGAAATGGGATGAAATTAGGATTACTTAGGCTTTGCACATGAAACATCGATTAAGATACAATAGCATTTCTTATGTGTTTCAGAGATAGTAGGAACTGCAGATGCTGGAGAATCTGAGATAACAAGGTGTAGAGCTGGATGAACACAGCAGGCCAAGCAGCATCAGAGGAGCAGGAAGGCTGACGTTTCGGGCCTAGACCCTTCTTCAGAAATGGGGGAGGGGAAGGGGGTTCTGAAATAAATAGGGAGAGAGGGGGATGCGGATAGAAGATGGATAGAGGAAAAGATAGGTGGAGAGGAGACAGACAGGTCAAAGAGGCGGGGATGGAGTCAGTAAAGGTGAGTGTAGGTGGGGAGTTAGGGAGGAGATAAGTCAGTCCAGGGAGGACGGACAGGTCAAGTGGGCGGGATGAGGATAGTAGGTAGGAGATGGGGGTGAGGCTTGAGGTAGGAGAAGGGGATAGGTGGGAGGAAGGACAGGTTAGGGATGCGGGGACAAGCTGGGCTGGTTTTGGGATGGGCCGCATAGGCCCAAGCCATGCCTGCCTCTTTGTAGGTTAGGTGGAACAATCCCTTTTCCGTAGCTACACTGGCCCTAAACCCCACCTCTTCCTCCGCTACATTGATGACTGTATCGGCGCCACCTCGTGCTCCCACAAGGAGCTCGACAGTTCATCCACTTCACCAACTCCACCTCAACCTTAAGTTCACCTGGACCATCTCTGATACCTCTCTCTCCTTCCTGGACCTCTCTGTCTCCATCTCTGGCAACCACCTGGAAACTGATATCCATTTGAAGCCCACCGACTCCCACAGCTACCTAGAATACACCTCCTCCCACCCACCTTCCTGCAAAAAATGCCATCCCCTATTCCCAATTCCTTCTCCTCTGCCGCATCTGCTCCCAGGATGAGGCATTCCACTCCCGTACATCTCAGATGTCTTCGTTTTTCAAGGACCGCAACATCCCCCCCTCAGTGGTCCAGAATGCCCTCGACCGTGTCTCCCGCATTTCCCTCAACTCATCCCTCACACCCCCTCCCTGCAATAACAACCGAAACAGAATCCCCCTCATCCTCACGTACCACCCCACCAACCTCCGGATCCAACGCATCATCCTCCGACACTTCCGCCATCTGCAATCCGACCCCACCACCAAAGACATTTTTCCCTCTCCACCCTTATCTGCTTTCTGGAGGGACCACTCTGTCCATGACTCTCTTGTCCGCTCCATACTCACTTCCAGCCCCACCACACTCGGCACTTTTCCCTGCAACCGCAGGAAGTGCTACACCTGCCCCTACACCTCCCCCCTTACCCCCATCCCAGGCCCCAAGAAGACTTTCGACATCAAGCAGTTGTTCACCTGCACATCTGCTAATGTGGTATACTGCACCCGATGTTCCCATTGTGGCCTCCTCTACATCAGGGAAACCAAGCGGAGGCTTGGGGACCGCTTTGCGGAACACCTACGCTTGGTTCGCACTAAACAACTGTACCTCCCAGTCGCGAACCATTTCAACTCCCCCTCCCATTCCTCTGACGACATGTCCATCCTGGGCCTCCTGCAGTGCCACAACAATGCCACCCGAAGGTTGCAGGAACAGCAGCTCATATTCCGCTTGGGAACCCTGCAGCCCAATGCTATTAATGTGGACTTCACAAGCTTCAAAATCTCCCCTTCCCTACCACATCCCAAAACCAGCCCAGCTCGTCCCGGCCTCCCTAACCTGTCCTTCCTCCCACCTATCCCTTCCTCCTACCTCAAGCCCCACCCCCATCTCCTACCTACTAACCTCATCCTGCCCCCTTGACCTGTCCATCCTCCCTGGACTGACCTATCTCCTCCCTAACTCCCCACCTACACTCACCTTTACTGACTCCATCCCCGCCTCTTTGACCTGTCTGTCTCCTCTCCACCTATCTTCTCTATCCATCTTCTATCCGCATCCCCCTCTCTCCCTATTTATTTCAGAACCCCCTTCCCCTCCCCCATTTCTGAAGAAGGGTCGAGGCCCGAAACGTCAGCCTTCCTGCTCCTCTGATGCTGCTTGGCCTGCTGTGATCATCCAGCTCTACACCTTGTTATCTCAGCATTTCCTATGTATTTGGCTGGAAACCTCGATGCTGACCTTTGCAGACGCCCAGTTCTCATTTGGAGAGCATCCCCTGCAACTACACAGCCCTCGATGCTGCAGTTTACCGTCAGCAGAAATGAGCACTTCTGTGCAGTGTTAGATATTAATTTTGCAATATTCACTCACAGGAGTCTTCCCAATAGCACAATAGAACAACACTTATATCGAGTTGATAGTGTTAAAGGCACAAATTATATCATTAAAGGGATCTGAAGAGAATTGTGTAGAACAACTGTTTCCATTTGAGTATATATATGTGTGTGTGTGGGTGTGGGTGTGTGTCTATAAAACAGTCCATGCAACTATGGCTAAGAGCTGGAATACATTGTGTGATGGCGGCAATATTCAAAATTGATTTGAACATTGTGCAGGTTTACGTGGAGAAGTTGGGAGAACAGCATGAACTGAACTGTTTACCCTGCAGAGAGGATACACACAAGACTGGCCAAATGCCCTCCATCAGCACAGGGCTATTACTTTAATTCAGTAAAGAGAAGGTACAGTACAGTTATTAAGTAAACGTATGAAGTTAATGTTGAAACGTATCTTAAAGAACCTCAACTCGGAATGAAGATAAATTATAATGTAAAAGTGAGATCATAGGCGATTAATAACGAAAAAGTCAACAAGTGAAATAAATTATTCTGAATGGAGAACGTTCTGAAGGAAAGATTTTAAAAATACGACCTTAAGATACGACAGCCTACCTGTTAAAGGAAAGCAGAGTACTTTAAATTGGAGGTGAAATATCTGCGATGTGAAAGGGAGCTATAAACAAAGAGGGGGTTTTCAACAAATCAACAAATCAGTTAATAACATCCGAGTACAAATCTTTACCTGGTATCCCGATAGCTGCAAGAAAATTATAGTAAATGGAAAACAACAGACCTTTTGGTGATAAGTGCATTTCTATCAGAAGTTTTAAGCACACTCCGCGTGAAGGTGTATTTTCCACATTTATATATGAGTCAGGCTCACGGGATTTAATTAGATGATTGAACCTTTTCCAGCAATTACCATGGTTGTAAAAAAAAAGACGAACGCAGCTGTAGTTCGGTATGTTCTGACGGATTGAAACTGGAATGGGAAATGTCCAGGGACTGCAAAATGCTTTAACTGCGTTTCTTCATCAAAGTTCACGGCCTGGGTTTGCAGTTCATGGCTGAAAAAATGGCATTCTCTCATGGTCAAGCTGAAAAGTGAGAACTTCCCGTGTTTGGTTGTAGCTGCCATGAATTTCAATCTCTGGTTGATATTTTGTTGGCCAAAGAAAGCTTTGGAGTAGCCCAACAGGGAGGTCGAATCCGGGGAAGGTCATGCTCCATAACTGCATTACTGGCCGAAAACAATCTTAATCATCTCAGAGATAGTAGG